AATTTGCGAACAAACTATTTCCATTTGTTCAAAAAACACGCTGACTAAGCGAAATAAAGTTCTAGAGTATTCTGTTTAAATGTTTTAGGAATTGTATTACTTACGATTTGTTGCGTTTTGAGATATCTAGCATAAATTTTTTTAAGAATATATTATCAAATGAACTATTACTTTAATATTATGGCTCATTCTCGGAGCCATATCTGTAAAGCCATAAAATTTTTAAACTATTATCATTTGTTTACAAAAATAAATGTTTTATAATATATATTTTTTAAATTGTCAAAATTTTGAAAGTTAATTACAAATTATATATTTTATTAGTATATTCTTAATTTTTATATCTTTTCTTAGAGCTTGGTTTAATTGTTTGTTAGATTTGTAAAAAACTAACAAAAAATTAATAAAATAAACTTTTAATATAATAAGTAACTATAGTTAGCTATTTGAGTAAAATTTAATAGTAAATTTTTTAAAGAATTTCTAGAATGTTTCCAATGATGTCATGCTCTTAAACTCCTATGAATTAAACGCGCTTGAATAAATTTTCAAGTCTGTATAATGCGCCTGGAAAATCCCTTTTATTTTACATACTCAAAATACCAGAGAAAACGGAGAAGACGAGCTTCGACTAAAACAACAAGATTTGTTTTTCTTGGTTTACATTTATTATTTAGTTTTAATCAAAAAAAATTTGCTCAGACGTTTTTTTTTAACATTCTCTTTAATAACACAACATGCCTCGGGACTTGGTAGTCCCTTTAACAAGGGTAGGTCTAACATTCCATCTCCCATTCATGGGACTGATCTTATTACCACTCCCAAGAGTAAGGCAGAACTCTTTTCAAATAACTTTTCTTCTAATTTTGTCTTATTTTGGCTGGTTCTCCAATTGATGGTCTTCCTCTTTTAGACAAAGTCCAAAAACACATTGTGAACTAACTGTTTATGGTTGCTTAAAAAGTTTTTTTAGTAATTTGAGAAAATTTCTGTTGATTCCATAGTTTTTAAGTTTTTTTATAATAATTTTTGTATCAGAATCTCGTGATCTTATCAAAGGCTTTTGATAGGTCAATGAAAACTCCAAGAGTATATATTGTGGTTTCTCAAATGATTATGCAATATTTCGAGTCAGATGAAGTATTGTGTGATAGTGGAATTATTTTTTTTAAATCCATATTGACTGGTATTTAATATTTATTTATAGATGATCATATATTGACCATATTGACTGCTATTTAATATTTATTTATAGATGATCATATATTTTAATGTAAAGAATTCTTTCAAAATTCTTTGAATGAGTGTTATGGTAGATTTTTAGAGTTATATATGATGAGATGTGATAAGTTCAAAAAAATACGGACAACTACAAAAAATACAGACAATTATTGAAAAAATACGGACAACCACTACAAACATGGATTATATCTAATATAAACTAATTAATGAAAAAAATAGATTATGTTCAAAACTTTTTGCTTTCCTTCCTTTAATATAATATCCTTTAATATGCCTTTAAACTATTTAAATGTAAAACAGCTAGATGTTCTGAAAAAAGTCTTTATAAGTTTTAAGCATATGTGAACAGAAAACAAAAATGTAAGGATATAACTTGCACTGATACAAATGGTACAATTTGTGAGAACCATTCAGTTAAATTTAGTTAAGAAGTTTGTTAAACTTCTTTTTTAAATGTTTATTTACTCAAAATGATAAAGCCTTACAAAAATATGATGCTGTTACTCAAGTTTACTATGAAATTGATATAAATAAAATAATCTGCCAAAATAACTTTTGGACAGTTATCAATTAAGTGGAAAGATTTAAACATAATTCCAATTTTTGAAATTGTGATAGGCTTGATCCTTCAAACTATAGACCTATTTTCTTTCATTCATTATATGTAAAGTTTAAGAAAGTTTTGTAAAAATAGCATTCGGCATCTTTTAGATAATAATTTTTTAACAAGACCCAGCATGGTTTTTACCGATTAAATTTTGCATTACAAAAATACTTAAAAGCCAACTCAAGCAATGGATCAAGAATACCCTATTGACATGTATTCTAAGCTGAAACACATGGTATAAATAAAGAAAAAAAAAAAAGTTTTTGTTACTGTCATTGCTTTTACAAAGATTTGTGTTTTAAGTGGTGTGCCTACTTAAAACACAAAAACACTGGTTGTTAAAAGGTAAATAGTGCTTCCACCCATAAACTTTCAACAACCCTTTAACTTCCAACAATACCCTTTAATGTTAACACCTTTTAACTTTAGCACCCTTTAACTTTACCCTTTAACTTTAACACCCATAACTTTCAGCAAAAATAAATTTCTATTACATAGCATTTTTTAATAATTAAAAAAAAAAATTTTAATAATTAATAAAAACTTTGAGTAAAATAATTTATTTTACCCAAAGTTTTTTTTTTTTTAAAGGAATTTGAAAATAATTGTTGTTGTAGTTGCAAAGAACATTGTGTAAAAACAGTAAATATTATAAATATGGTGGATTTAATGTTTTGAGTCATTTTAAATGTATTTTAGATTTAAATAGAGTCTAATCTAAAAAGGAATCATTTAAATCTAATATCATTGCAAAGGCTCATAATAAAATTAGAAAAACAATTTTGTTCAATGAAAAAGCTATAAAAAATGTATTGCATTAAAATATGCAAAGTTTCATATATAGTTTTATACAGTTTCCACTCTATCGAAGATTTGGAACTGGAAGCAAGTGAGAACTGGAGGCAAGTGAGGAAATGAAGCGATTTTCAACAAGTGAGTATCAATAAGAGTTTCTTAAATAATTATATTAATTTAAAAATAAAAAGCAAAATATTTATGTGTGTGCGTGCAAGAAGTTTGATATTAAGTAAAAAAACGATTTAAAAACAGTTATATATAATATATAAAAGTAAAAGTTATATGATATATATATATAGTATAATAAATGTTTTATATAGTAATATATAAAGAAGTTAGGTTGATTATTGGTTAAAACAATTGGAAATAAAGAAATGATATATAGCTTTTTGTGACAAAGCATTTAACTTATAAACTTATTTAAACTTTTATAAACTTAATTATTTAAATTTTACTTAAGGTATTTAAATTTTATAAATATATATTTTCTTGTAAAATTGTATATTATTTCCTAAAAAATGTATAATTTCTTTTGTAAATATAACAGAAATCTTAGTGTCAAATCATAGTCTATCAATGTTAAGACAAACTATTCTTATTCTTTGTTTTTTATTTGTGTGCTCTCAAGTGTTGTTGGGATGTCAATTGAATCATATTATCCTTTAATAAATTGATAAAAAAGACATAAAGAAAACTGTTTATGAAATATTTTTTTATTGATCTGTTATTGTCAACATGATAAACATTTTTTATGCACATTTAAAAAAAAAATAAACATTCTTCGTTGCTCTTCAGTTTTGAACAGATTTCTAATATAACAGTAAAAAATCTCTTTGTTCCTCTAAAATCTTCAAAATATACCCCTAAAAAATACCAAGTACATGTTTTTTTTTCATCTAAAATAAAATTCCCTGATATGAATCAGGCCATTTCTTGAAATTCTAGCATCTTGTTTCCTTATTGTTTTCAGGAAACGAAAAAATTAAGCTCTAATTTTCATTTTTAATCAAAGAGATCACAGAGATGATTCCTTTTACTATGAGAATGAAAGTAGTTATTCTGGCAATCTTCAAGTAATTTTGAAACTAATATCCAATTGTACAAAAAACAATATGGTGAATGGTTTAGTAACTATTGTAAAAAATGCTACACATCACTTTAAAACTACTCAAAATGAGTTGATTAATATTTGTAATGACATTATAGTTCCAAAAATGACACGTGAAGTTAAAAAAGCTAAACGTTTTTCAATATTAGTAGATAAAGCATTTAATGTCTAACACAATTCATCTTGTGCCACTGTATGTGGCAC